AGCTGCTGCAGGACTACAAGTTCCATCATGCCTCTGCAAGTCAGTAACTTCCCATCTTTGCAATGCCTCATGGGAAATGTAGTTCCACAACAGCTGGAGAGCCACAGGTTAGCCACCCCTGCCATAGACACACTTCTAAACCTTGTGGACAGCTTTCTCAGAAGAGTTGAAGCTGTTATAGCTGTAAAGGGTGCGCCAACTCAATATTGAACCCTACGGACTAAGACTGGGATGCCATTAAAGTTCATGTACATGTAAAGGCAGGTGTCCCAATACTTTTGGCAATGTAGTGTATGTCTGGTTACACCTGCCTACTTTAAATCCGATCTGCGAAAAACAAACGGAAGGGAATGGTCCACTCCATAGTGCCGGATCAGATGGCGTGTCCATGCTGCATAAGTGGAGCAGACTCAGACCTGTCATCTGCCTGTTCAGCAGGGATCAATAGACAGATCCCCTGCTGAGCAAGCAGATCTCAGGTGGAGGCCGTCTGTGTGAAAGGGGCCTTAAACATTGCTTATCTATGGTAACACATACACAGTATGGCTAGTTAGCCAGCATTTAAAATACATTCAAGTGATCAGAATCCATGCTTAAAAAAAGAAAATTGAAGAGTAGACAGGACACAATCGAAATTTATTTGAAGTCAACTAAAAATGTCAGAAATATGTACAAATTAAAAAAGTTAAATGTGTGATATATAAATACGGTATTGATAAGAACATATGAAAAATATTGAATCTGGAAAAACTGTTTATACATGTTTTAAGTTACTGACAAGGACAGATGTTTAATAAGGTCTTCTTGTGTTAGAATGTAAAATGGATGAGTTTTGCATTGGTAACAATGCTATGCAATGTACTGCACAGTTCACCAATAGGAACACAACAAAATAAAGTTTGCATTGCAATGACTGTACTCAGAAAACAATGTAAATCCAGAACTCAGTAGTTCAAAATTATATTGAGGTTTGACTTTATTTCTTGTCTGAATGTATGAGAGATTGTGCATATAAAATCAATATTTCCGTCATGCCTGGCGTCCAAAACACAGCTAAGAAGCGACTATGTTGTGCTTCACTTTGTGCAAAAGCATCATGTCTAATTGTTATTGTGTAAAAAAAAAAAAAAAAAAAAAAGGAAGAAAAGAACTTTGTATATACAGACTAAAGCAGTTGGTTTAGAACTTGATACAATCATTTCCCTTTAAAATGTTACAACTGCACCATAAAACCAAATGACAATATTCAGTATGTAGGCTGCCATTACTGAGCTCATTCTGAGCATGCCAGTTGTCTGGCATTGCTCCATTACTAAATCATTGACCTGAAACAGGTATACATCAAGTCAGAACTCCTGATCTGAATCTTGTTCCAGGTCAAGGAGTCAAAAATATTGACGCCAGAGTATCAATTTTACAGCCTGACAAACACCAGTTTCAGAAAGAGAGGTCTGCAATAGCTAAAATACTGTCCAAATACAAGGGGGGTGTATGTGCTTGTATCTTGGCACATTTGTGTATTTCTTCTAGATCTGTGCAGTAATACAGCATGAAACAACTTCTGCAATTTGCCTCTGTGATGGAGTTTCCTGTAATAAAGACCAGTATGTGGTGCTCTCTCTCCTTGTGCAAGGTGACTGGTCTTGTATCCACCCCCTGTAGTTTTCTGCAGTCTGTAATGTTGAAGGTAGACTTGCTGGTCTCTGCCTACAGCTATGCTTTTTTGCAAATAATTCTAAGTGCAACCGTGACAGTGTCACTACTACTCTTTACAAGGCAATATATGGGTTTTGCAACAATATTTAATTTTTTTTTCTCTTTTAGTTGAAATTTAAAAAAAAGAGGTTATACTTGCCTCCTCTTTTGGAGTCCCCTGTCAGCGCTGTTTGTCCTTTCTTTCGGGTGCCTCTTTGAGCTGGCTGTGTCTCCATAGAAAAACAAAGGGCCAGTAAGCTCTGCCCCTTTTCACTGACAGCAGCAGGAGCCTATGGCTCCCTCTCTTCCTGGTCTCATTGGAGACTCTGAGAATAGAGGAGAGGGGTGCTACTGCCAGGGACAGCGCTGGATCAAGAGAGGAGTCAGATAAGGGGTGGGAGTTCTTTAATGCAGAGTGCGAATTGTAGTGGCAGAAATTTTGCTGGATCATGTGAATGAAAGCAGCTGGCGGCCAAAGCTATTCACGGCTCTCAGCAGTCATCGATCACCACAAGTATTCACTGGCTGTGTACAGAACTGTGAATAGCTGCAGCTGCTAGTGACCTGTCAATATAGTGAATGGGGCCAATGGCTGCACCGAGCCGTTCCCATTCACAGCTGTAAGCAAAAGTTTTATGCCGCTACAGTTCGCTCCGGCCTTAATCGCTGGTGTGAATGCAGCCTTAGACTTTAGAACAACTTCAGGTGCACACAAAGTGGATTTATATCCTTTCAGCTATTTAAATTATTTTTTTAAACTGGTTTTCAGCCTTAAATGCAACACATTATGAGATTTAACTTCCTAAAAACATACTTGTTGTCTGACTTCCATAATCATCCTCAGGCTTTACTGTTGAAGAAACCGGATAGCAGTGTACACTTACGTAGCTGGTCATAAACAGACATAAGAAAAAGAATGTAAAAGAAATACAGCATGACAAAATGTTCCCCATGGCTTTTCTGACCTCCATTTAGGATAAGCTGCGTGTTCTAGGGTGTACACCAAGACGATAGTTTAGCCTGGAGAAAAATAGTTTTCTGTATTATCCTCCAACTCTTTCCAATAAAATAGTAATCAGACGAGTCAGCCTAAAATAAGTACAATGACTAGGCTACAGCTAGGAGTGATGTTAGTAGGTTAATTATGAGACTAAAATTGCTGGTGAATACTAATTAGAAGGAACAAATTGCTCCCTATGGTCTAAACTACATAAGTAGCCAGTAGTAGCAATTAATCTCCCATGATCACTCAATGATCCAAATGTGTGCGACTGACTGCTAATACAGGCGGCTTTTAGTAGGTCACATCATAGCAATCGAATTGTAATAACTGTTTATTCACTGATTGCTAATCTCAGCAACAAATCCCAAGCTGTTTCAGTAGCACTTTTAGGGCTTGTTTATGCTAGCATTGCTCGTTGAAGAGCCATCCACGTTCAGATCACTCTTCAGAGAGCAAATGAAAGGCGATTAGGAAGGGTTGTATTGCCTCCCGTTTAAATGCCTGAGTTAGCACGCTGCAACTAAAATGGGGTTTATGTCTACAGTCAGAAAGGGGATTATGGGTCACATTCAGTTAGCGGTACTGCTGTGGCATATGTACTCACCCCTCTGCTGCCTTTGCCCCCCAAAACACAAGTGTAAATGAGGCCTCAACTTGCTAAAGGTCAAGTGTGTATCTTCAACCACAGAGACATTCAGGAACTGTGTTCCCCTCCAGTCTACATGTTGACCCTAATCAGAAAAATCAGAGTGTGGCTTGTGCAATAAATGCATGAACTGTCATGCTTAAGACAGCGGTCCAGCTTTGTACAAGATTACTCTGTGCTTCTGGAATTAAAGAGTACTTCCATCTTTACAGGAAAAAATGAAACATGAATTCCCAGCCCCCTCCACACTCTTTGCTACAGTTATCTGTTCTGCTGGTAATCACCTGCCAGCATTCTGATCTGTACACTTTTAATCCCCGTACACACGAAGAGAATATCAGATGAATGATCGTCCGGTTTTTTTTTTTTGCATGCTAACCTCATATTGAAAACGTAGAGATTACGCAAGTTCCGAAAATTCTTTTATGATAGAATCAAAATTCAGAAGTGATGTAATGTATTGTATTTTTGGACGAAATCTGTACTGATTATACAAAAATCGCACAATCCGGTATCGAAAGCTGTGTACTAAACAATCAAATTATTGTATGATTGCTTTGAAAGCGGTATTTTTCATTCAATTTTCTGATCATGTGTACTAGGCTTTAAACTCCATACGCAACCCAGGAGGCTGTGTAGCAGCATAATGCCAGCAATGACCAGTGGTCATATGACATCACTGACCAATCAGCTTCTGCCCTAGAAGGGAATGGTCAAGGGCCTGCGTCAGCAGATTTGTATTAGCTTTTTTGTATTGCTATACACGTTTATGGAAATGGAAAACCCACAAAAGCAGGTCAAATGCATCTTACAATTAATTCTCTGGTCTCAGAAACTTGAGAAACGTTTCAAGCTGATACCATCGACACGGGCCCTAATGGAGAGGCAGTAAATACTTGTCTTAGTCTGTACAAAGAAAGTTCAGATAACAGTGGTAGCACTTTCATTAATGACAGCCCCTAGGATTGTATGAAAGTTTAATACTTGAGATAACATCTAAGAAACCTTCAATGATTTGCTACAATTGCCCAGCCTGCAATATTTCACAGTATTTGAATAGTGTTTGAGCTGAAAAATAAAAATGAAGAAATATGCTTTACAATGTCAAGTCAGCTTAGTTTGTACAATGCCGATCACAGTGCATATATTTTTTCTTTGTTTCAAATAATTGAATGTCAACGGTCAGAAAAATTGGTTACTAGGTTTGGGAATTCAACATCCTGTGAAAATGCTGCATATATTAAACCTGCACTCTTTAAACTTTCTGATAACTAGAAATGTGCAAAAAATATTTTGAAGTTCTATCATATGGAGATTTTCCAAATTGAGCACTAGTCTAGAAGTCAAAGTCCTTTCTTGCCTAACCTACGGTAACATTTGTTATGAAAGCACCAGGGACAAACCCATGATTTCAGTAGCTATAACAATATTAAAAAAAATTAAATAAAAAAAAAATTAAAAATAAAAAACTATGTGTGCAAATGTTTAAAGTTGTAGAATTGCTCAAAGCATGTATACTTGGTTGTCTTGTACCTTGTAGACTTTACAACAGAACTGATTTTGAACAGATTCCAGGAACCATTAGAAAATCTAACAGTGTGGAGAAAGAATACTGAAGTGTGCCAACAAAGGAGACATAGGCAGGATTTTGACAGTCTACACATTAGATTTAGGAGCGGAGTTTAGAGGAATCTCATTGAGTTCAGTCCGCAGGCAGAGGTACTCCCCAATTACTGCCATTAAGCCAATGCACACAATGTTCAGTAGCCACCACGTGATAGTGCTGGGCAGCTGGGCGTTATAAATCCAACATCCGAAGAAGTGAAAGAGGTGAACAGTCACAGTAAAGTCTAAGCACTGCTTTCCTCTGCGGATAAAATACAGTAGGCCCAGGGCGCATGTTAAAGAGTTCAGAATGAAAGCCATCATAGAGACTCTCCCATGTACTGAAGAAAATCCCAAGCTCTCATAGCTAAATATCTGGTCAAGTGAAGGACTGTAACGAATCACCAAGTCCACAGAGGCGATCCAAAGGCCCAGTGAGGTGTAGTAGATGAACTGCATAAGCACTATCTGAGAGGTGATCAAGATCGGATCCCACACGTAGCTGCGGAACTGTCCAGCCATTCTCACAGCAAAGTTCTTTTAGCAGTCACACACAGATGAGCATCTAGGGACAAGTACTGCTGAGGAAGAGATGAAAAAAAAGGACATATAAAAGTTGTGAAAACTCTGAGGGGTTGATTTACTAAAACTGGAAAGTGCAAAATCTGGTGTGGCTCAGCATAGAAACCAATCAGCTTCCAGTTTTGTTTTATTGTCATAGCTTAATTGAACAAGATGAAGTTAGAAGATGATTGGATACTAGGGATGCACCAAAATTTCAGTGGCCGAAAGCACCCCTATGAAAATAAGCATCGATACAGGTAAACCGAAAATAACCCTTACCCAAGGACCCATTCAACGATCCTGGCACTGGGCATAGAGGTGAGTGAAGGAAAGATAGCCTCCACTCCAGCGCCTTGTAAAGAAGGCCTTTTTTTTTTTTTTGTTTGTTTTTTTTAAAAGCACTAGATCAATGCTTTACATTGTAGAGGAGAGATGTGGAGTCTTACTGACCCCATATCTCTCCATAAAGAGGACCTGTCACTGCTTATTTATATCATAAGGGATGTTTGCATGTTGGGTATCTATTTACTCGGTGTAACGTCTTTCAGATTTTACAAAAAAAAAAAAAAGGGGAGGTATATATTGTTTTTTTTCAAATAATAAAAGTGTATTTTTTCCCAAAAACTTGCGTTTGAAATATATATTAATTTTTAAAAATCGGTCTTCGGTTTTTGGCCAAGTGCATCCTGAATTTTTGGTTTTGGTACCAGAATTTTAATTTCGGTACACCACTATTGGTTACCATGCACAGCTGCACCAGATTATGCACTCTCCAGTTTTAGCAAATCAACCCCTAAGTGTGCATTAATGAAAACTGAAACAAATTAGTTCACATGGCATTTTTAATAATTAAATGCAGATAAAAGTTAAAAAAAATCAAAAAATAAATACAGATTTGAATAACCCATTCAGGCTATTTGGTGTATGTAATTACAGGTGAAAGCCTGACCTTGCTTTAGTGAACCTTCAACAGTTTGTTTGGATCAGGCTGGTCCAAACAAACTATTTCCTTTGTTAATATATGCAGCAGCTGTCAGTGCAGTATGAACTGTATGTAGCCTCAGCTACATACAGTATACAGTGCCATGTTCTAGCAGCAGAATTTCTTGTTCTGCCATCGGAAAAAAACGGAGTCGGACTGAGCTCTGCTTAAGCCTTTCAGAGGAACCTTGGCATATTCTGGATGAAAACAAGCCTTCCTCTGATTGGCTAAGATGCGTGGATGACATCATGATCTCCACCTCAGCCAACCAGATAAAGCTTTGTATTCATTCATAAAAATATGAATGGTTGAGCAGCGTTCAGCCCAAATGATTTTGTTTTAGGAGCAGGAGAGGAAGTCATCCCGCTGTCAAAAAGTAGCACTGTATACCACATGTAGCCTCACCTACATAAAGCATTGACAGCCGCTGCATGTTAGTGAAGGAAATCTTTAATTTGGACCAGCTTGGTCCAAATAAACTATTTAAAGTTCACTAAAACATGGTTAGTTAGGCTTTAATGGATGCATACAAATGAACTCTGATAACCACAGATAAATGATATTCAAAAAAACAAAAAAGCAGTAATGTGGAATACCTGAGCTTGAAACAAAAAAAAAAAAAAAAATATATATATATATATATATATATATATATATATATATATATATATATATAAATATATATATATATATATATATATATATATATACAGTCATGGCCGAAATTGTTGGCACCCTTGATATTTTTCCTGAAAATCAAGTATTTCACACAAAAAAGGTATTGCATTAACACATGTTTTGCTATACACATGTTTATTCCCTTTGTATGTATTGGAACAAATATAAAACAGAGGCAGAAAAGCAAATATGACATAATGTCACACAAAACCCCAAAAATGGGCTGGACAAAAGTATTGGCACCCTTAACTTAATATTTGGTTGCACACCCTTTGGAAAACATAACTGAAATCAGTCGCTTCCTATAACCATCAATAAGCTTCTGACACCTCTCACCCGGAATTTTGGACCACTCTTCCTTTGCAAACAGCTCCAGGTCTCTCTTATTGGAAGGACACCTTTTCCCAACAGCAATTTTAAGATCTCTCCACAGGTGTTCAATGGGATTTAGATCTGGGCTCATTGCTGGCCACTTCAGAACTCTCCAGCGCTTCTTTGCCATCCATTTCTGAGTGCTTTTTGACGTATGTTTTGGGGTCATTGTCCTGCTGGAAGACCCAGGATCTTGGACGCAAACCCAGCTTTCTGACACTGGGCCCTACAGTGCGACCCAAAATCCTTTGGTAATCCTCAGATTTCATGATGCCTTGCACACAGTCAAGGCACCCAGTGCCAGAGGCAGCAAAACAACCCCAAAACATCATTGAACCTCCACCATATTTTACCGTAGGTACTGTGTGTTTTGTTGTTTCTTTGTAGGCCTCATTCCGTTTTCGGTAAACAGTAGAATGATGTGCTTTACCGAAAAGCTCTATCTTGGTCTCATCTGTCCACAAGACGTTTTCCCAGAAGGCTTTTGGCTTACTCAAGTACATTTTGGCAAACTGTAGTCTTGCTTTTTTATGTCTCTGTGTCAGCAGTGGGGTCCTCCTGGGTCTCCTGCCATAGCGTTTCATTTCATTTAAATGTCGACGGATAGTTCGCGCTGACACTGATGCTCCCTGAGCCTGCAGGACAGCTTGAATGTCTTTTGGAACATGTTTGGGCTGCTTATCCACCATCCGGACTATTCTGCGTTGCAATCTTTCATCAATTTTCCTCATCCGTCCACGACCAGGGAGATTAGCTACAGTGCCATGGGTTGCAAACTTCTTGATAATGTTGCGCACTGTGGACAAAGGCAAATCTAGTTCTCTGGAGATGGACTTGTAACCTTGAGATTGTTGATATTTTGCCACAATTTTTGGTTCTCAGGTCCTCAGACAGTTCTCGTCTCCTCTTTTCTGTGTCCATGCTTAGTGTGGCACAGACAGACACACAATGCAAAGGTTAAGTGAACGTCTCTCCTTTTTATCTGCTTTCAGGTGTGATTTCTATATTGCCCACACCTGTTACTTGCCCCAGGTGAGTTTACAGGAGCATCACATGCTTGTAACATTCTTATTTATCCGCAGTTGTGAAAGGGTGCCAATACTTTTGTCCAGCCCATTTTTGGAGGTTTGTGTGACATTATGTCGAATTTGCTTTCTTTCCTCCCTTTTTTTGTTTTGTCCCAATACACACAAAGGGAATAAACATGTGTATAGCAAAACATGTGTTAATGCAATACGTTTCGTGAGAAATACATGATTTCCTGGAGAAATATCAAGGGTGCCAACAATTTCGGCCATGACTGTATATATATATATATATATATATATTATATATATATATATATATATAATGTATATAAATACCATTGGGCCAGCCAAAGCTCACTAGTAACATAACTGCTGCATTTCTAGATAAACTTTTGACCAGAAGGGAGCAAGGTTAGACAACTAGATACTCATAGCAACCCCTTCTCCCCAAGAGTGCACGAGGATACACAAATTAACCAGGTGTAATGCCTATGAAATCTGTTGGCTGTGGACCCTTTGTTTCTTGGTAATGTTTACAATGAAGCATCGATGCCCAGATGCCAGGAGCATGAGACATTGATGTCATTTCTCTAGGACCAAGGAACAGAATCACAAGATATTAGACTGCTTAAAGCAGATAAGAAGTGTTTTTGTGGCATCTAGAAATGTTACATTAGACTGCTTAAATGAAATAAGAACTTGTTTGTGCAATTAAAGAGGTCTACTTGTTTGAGAAGTTAGAAATCTTTCAGTTTAGGGTAGATAAGAAGCTGATATGACACAAAAGTGTGATATTTCTTAGATAAACGGTGTTTGTTAGGTGTAGTGGCTGGGCGTGACTCTGTTATCCTCCTGGAACCTTTTTGCTAGCTCCTCCTAGAGTGGGTGTTGTGCCCGCTCACTTCGGGAAAGCTGCCAGAAAGGGTTTAAAACAGGAAGCTTAAGCGGGATCAATAGGAGCAGCCTTCCTATGCCTTCCCAGACGAGGACGCTCTGACGCTGGGACTCTTGCAAAGGCTATATGGGCTCACATACTGGTCGCATTTACGGCTTCTCCGCGAACCCCTGTACATTATGGTTCTGATGGAGTCTGTTCCTTCCCGTCTTCCTATAGCTTTGGTAATGTAATAATTCTATGCTGTATCGCTGTCAAAAGATGTGTATTTCATGCTGTAATGCTCACATTATTATTGGTGTGTGTTATTGTGCAGATTGTGATGACTATAAGATATATCCTCCTGTGTGTCGTGTGATAATAAAAGTGGAGGTTTTGACAGTGCAAGAATTTTGCAGTTGGATTCTGTTATTTCTTGGAGAGCCGAGTGAATGCTATGATGTGCCAGGGCAGATGACCATCAGGTAGTGGGTCTTTCACATGCTTAGAATAATTAATGGTGTAAATGCTGGTTCAACGTACCTGTGTGTGTGACTACCTGTCTATTGTATATATATATGACTTGCTTTCAGTTATTGCATCCAGCATTGCCTTACACCAGGCTATTTCCTAGTGCTCCCCCTTCCTGATTCTTGACTGTTTGTTTTGATGTTCTGCAAACAAGAAATAATGAAAGTTCAGTCTGCAATTCAATGGGACTGGAGTCCCACATTTATTTAGGACTTGCACAACTTACAGTACATATTTCTTGTTGGATCTGCAATAATGTTTTGGCTTCTTTTATGGCACAGGTGCTCAAATTTACAATGCTCCACCTGAAATCAAAGTCTCCTGTCAATACTAACCCAAGTAGTTTCTTTATGCTCTTCTACGTCCAAGGCATGACTGACTACTATTCCAGGACTGAGATATTTATTATGTACTGTACAGCGCTGAGCAAACTTTCTGGCGCTATATAAATACTGTATTATATAATAATAATAATAATAATAATGTAGTAACC